AATCCTCCACCGTAGAGGGATGAATATGCAAGCCCGAGCCCTCGGGGCGACCCGAGAGCTCGCCGAGTTTATCCGCAAGCTAGAGAAAGGTGAGGTTCGGCACCGCGCAGAAAACGCTCATTTACTCACCAACTTCTGTTCCTCAATTGTAAGTGTCTGTTTCTTGAAAAACACCACGTTCCGCTCAGAGACGACTATAGCCAGCTCGCGCAACAAGTCGTCGGAATTGCTAGCCTTCAGCCAATCCGAAAGCTGAGCGGTTGTGAACTGCCGACCAATAACTGGGGTCAGGTCAAATGATGGGTATTGTATGAGGGCGTCGGAGCGAGGGAGTGTGCGGGCCATGGTGGGTGTTAGTGTCGTAATGATAGTGCCTTATATATCGTTAGCCGCGGTCCCGGGCCAGACGTTGAAGATTCCAACCGGGCCGTAAGTTTGCGTCTTTCGACCTCAGGATGACGCAACAAACGCGATTGTGCCTTGCTTCTGCCTTCAAGAAGACTGTGAAGGGGTCGATGGAACTTGCAGTTCCCCTTCCCCGCGAGGCAGAATCTGCATGTCTGACGAAGATGAAAAGAAATCCGTCGAATCCATTGGGGATGGCGAGCTCACGCTCCCGTCCAAGGAGAGCGTGTTCGACGATCCCGTCCTCGCCAGGTATGTTGTCCCTCTTGCCTTCCTCCCTTCCGTTTGCGTTTCCTTCCCCAGTACCGCTAGTAATGAATGACTGTTTATGATATCGCAGCTTCTACACCCCACCGGACTCGTACGAAGGAAAACACCGCTGGGACCCGCACGCGGTGTGGACGGCGGAGGAGGAGGCAGCCATCGTGCGCAAGATCGATGTTCGCATTATGTTGTTCGCGTGCCTGTGTTTTGCGTGTTTGCAGCTGGACCGGGGGAATGTATGTCTGCCAGTTACATTTTACCGCCTTATATTCGAACCACCCCTCAGCTCTCTAACGCGCTCTCCGATAACTTCCTCGCCGATGTGGGTATCAACACAGAAGACTACAACCTCGGAAGTAGTGTCTTCTGTGCGTCCCCTCAGCTCCCTGACCTCTTACCTCTCCCGCTTACTCACAACCGTTATTTGCTAGTCATCACGTTCCTCCTCATGGAGATCCCCTCGCAGCTTATTTCCAAACGTGTAGGCGTGGAAGTTTGGGTCCCTACCCAGATGATTATCTGGAGTGTCATTGCGATATCCCAGGCCAAGGTCACGGGCCGAGTGTCGTTCCTCGCTACGCGGGCGTTGCTCGGAGTGTTCGAGGGTGGGTTCATACCCGACATGGTGCGTCCTTCCATAATTCTGACATTGGATGTTCCCTGCTTCGCTGTGTGCGGGTGATCGCATTCTCATTGAGTTTCTCATAGGTGCTATACCTGTCTTACTGGTACACCGGTGTGGACTTTTTCCCATACTCGTACTGCGTACATGTTGATTAATCCTCGGGCAGCGTCCGAGCTAACCATAAGACTCTCCTTCTTCTGGGCCGGCACCACTCTCACGAGCATTGTCGGCTCCCTCATGGCCTCCGGCATCCTTGAAATCACGGGCCATGGCTGGAAGGGCTGGCAGTACCTCTTTGTCATCGAGGGCGTGCTTACACTCGCGTTTGGAGTGTTTGCGCTGTTTTATCTGCCGCCATCGCCGACGCAGACCGGGAGCCGCTTCCGCGGGAAATCGGGGTGGTTCACCGAACGGGAGGAGACGATTATGGTCACGAGAGTATTGGTGTGCTCGCTTCCTTGTTCCCCCCTCCCCTCTCGTATATTATTTATATTAACGAGCGCTTTCAACTGATGCCAACTTGACATTGTTCATCTTCTAGCGAGACGACCCTACCAAATCGGACATGCACAATCGCCAGGCGCTGTCGGGGTACCAGATGTGGCAAGCATTGACGGACTACGATCTCTACCCGCTGTACGCGGTAAGTCGCTCGCAGATGCATTATTATATTCTATTTGGTCCCGTGCTTAAAGTTCACACAGATCGGGGTGGAGGGTTTTGCGTTGGCGACGGTAAAAGCATACTTTACTCGTAAGTCTCTCAGTGATTCCGCCACCGCGCTGCACCGAGAGTTGGTTGCTCATCCTTTTATCTACAGTGACACTCAAGTCTCTGTACGTGCTCGGATACTGCGAATATGATTGATCAGCTTACAACCCCGCGTTTTGTACAGTGGCTTCAGCACATTCAACACGAATCTGCTCACCATCCCTTCCTCCTTTGTGAGCATGTTTGTGAGTGCATATCGGTCTGGCACAATTCGTTTTTCAATCAAGACAGACGCTCGTGGGCCTGGCTAAACTCTCCGAGGTCGCGCGCGAGCGCGTGCTCATCGCTTCGTGAGTCCATCATCTTCGTGGTCTCCTCCCTCTTCCAGGCCCGTCCCTCATCGCATGCAGGATCCGTCCATGGTGGCAGCTCATCCTCTTCATCACACTGGTGACGATCCCGGACTCCACCCCTCCTTGGTCGAAATACACGATCCTAAGTATCCTCCTCGCGGATCCAGATTGTCAGTCCATCATGGTCTCCCTCTGCAGTCTCAACAGCGGGAGTGTGCGAACGCGCAGTTTGAGCGCGTCGATTTTTAACATGATGGGGCAGTGAGTTTTATGATTGAACTCAGTTCAATTTTCCTCGGTGGTGAGGCTGAGAGGATTTGATTAGACTCTCGAGTCTGGCGGCGGCCAATGTGTACCAGCCGGGGGACGAGCCGTACTACCATCGCGGGAACCGCGTCCTCATCGGCATCGTGGCCCTGGAAATTTTGCTGTTCATTTTCACGAAGGTCTACTACATCAAGCGGAACGAGTGGAAGGAGCGCAAGTGGAGCGCAATGACGGTGGAGGAGCGCAAGGACTATCTCGCCCACTCGCTTGATCGGGGGAACAAGAGGTGAGCTCGTGTTTCGCGCGCGCGGCATTAGACTGATCGTTTGATTTCAGACTGGATTTCAGGTTCTCGCACTAGTACTTGAGTTGGTAGGAAAGGCGTATTTGTTGTTAGTGTTTCAATTATTTACTTTGTGCAGTGCTGCAAGGACAGTTTATGAGATCATCGGCGGTAATCCAATTTAAAGAAACGTACCGATGATGAAATCCGTCCCCGCTTTTTTGCCTCAAGACATCCTCGCCAGACAATCATCCTGTGGGACATTATGCGATGTTGGCACGCCGTTCCGCGATGATGGCCTCCGCCTTGACCCAATAGTCGTGGAATCCACGGGCACCACGCTCTCAGTCGGCCCTATAATCTGGCATAAGGAGCTGAACGAATCGCGGGTCGGTAATGTGACGGACGGAAAGCGACAATTAATCTTTGCATGATTACATTAAATCAACACGATTGATTGATGAACGCATAAAATAAATTGCCGCTGGCTGGCCCCGGCCCGGGGGGTCCAGACTGAATAAGGGAGGAAGATGTAGATCCACAGGGGACAGGAACGATGAGGCGATGGAAGTGTATTATGTCACTGGCAGATTGCTACACAGACAAAGGCAAGTTAGGCAAATGAAGCAATAAAAAAGATCATGTTCAACAAACGCAGTCGAGAGGCTCGAGCCTGAGTCGAACAAGCGACTCCTGCTCGCAAATAGTCAGAATCCACGCTGCAAACGTAGCAGGTGCAGACCATCTGTTATCAAGCCAGTACTGATGGCAGTGCCTTGTTGCATTTGTGCGGGAGCCTGATGGATCTCGTTCGCGGCGTTCAACATAGCTACTATTGGCACTGGATTCGGGGAAAAAATTGGACTCCATACACAAGAAAAAACAGCTAACCATAAGGCCTGAGCCCCTGAGTCGAACGTGCAATTAAACACAGAACTAGCATTTAACAGGGAGCAGGTGCGGGCCATCTGCTATCAAGCTGTTCTGGGATACCCTGCAGGCCTGGAATGTATACACACTCACATTACTGTACCATTTCGACCAAGTCTTCAGGTGACGCGTGATGCGGCCCTCTGAACTGAAGACTTTTGGTCGTGGTGACGGTGACATTAAAAATCTTCAGCCCAAATAGGCTTAAAAATGTCTTGCCGGCATCTGCCGGCCTTCCATTTAAGGCAATTTTTGATCGTATTAGTCAGAATGAAGACCTAATAAACTGAAGACCTTAGGTGACGCGTGACATGGGCTGAAGACTTGGTCAAAATGGTACAGTAAATCAACGGGCTTGATCATGATGTATGTACAAAAGAAATCGCCACTGGGAATCCACACTTAAAAAGAAAACAATGTTAATTCACAGGGCCCGCGCGGCGCGGACAGGAAAGAAGCCGGGTGGTGGCCGGCAACTATGTCAGATTGCTGCACAAACAATGGATATCAAAGGCAAGTGAATCAATAAAAAGGTGGAAAAACACGAAACCATGTGTATGGCCCGAGCCCGAGTCGAACGAGAGGCTCGGCTCCTACATCAACCAAGAGGAGAAAGTCATACAGGGAGCAGGTGCGGATGCTCTCAAGCCGTTCCAAGGACATGCTAGCCTTTGCATAGGTACATACAATTTTGACAGCGCTAGCCGGGATGCATGTACGTGTATGACGATACAGTATCCCGGGTCGGGAATTGGAGTCTACACTGGATAAGTAAAAAAGATCGGACTCGGTAGACAGGGAAAAAAATGTGCACGCGGCACGGTTCAAGGCCCGGTTTAAGGCCGAGCCCGAGTCGAACGGGCAGCTCCTGCGATTAACAAACAAGCAAGCATTCGAAAGGGAGCAGGTCCGGACCATCCACTATCAAGCTATTCTCGGATACCCTGGAATGTGTACACACTTAAATTAACTTAACGGGATTCGAAGTACGCACAAAAAAAATCACCACTGGCTGGCGCCGGGAATCCAAACTAGATAAGAAATAAGTGAATCGACAGGGGACAGGAACGATGCGGCGATGGAAGTATGCACACTGTGTATATCGGATTGTTGTGAAGCAATAAACAAGCTGAAGCAATCAAAAAAACTGAGGAGCAAGAAATGGCTCGAGCCCGGGTCGAACGGGCAACTCCTGCATGGACATTAATCCTCATGGTTGAGTACTCAAGTGTAGCAGGTGCGGACCATCCGCTATCGAGCCGCTGTTAAGGTTGGTGTGTTTTTCGGGTTGTGCAGATTTCGTTAGCGTTCCGGCTCCTGTATTGTCGGAAGCAAAACTTAGACACGCGGATCACCCCGGGTCACCTCCCACGTCACTGTCACTGTCACTGTCACGCGTCTCGCTCCCTCCACCACCTCGCTCTCGCGGCCAACACTCTCAAAAGCCCCAAAGACCCGACTTCGGCACCAACACACGAGAATAAGAAAACAAAATGGGAATTGGCTCGTTCATTTCGTCCCTCCTGCCGACCACGCACGCCGACTCGGAGGAGAAGCCCGCTGACAACGCAAACGCAAAGGAGGACGCGAGCAGCAACGAGGAGGGCGGCGAGGAGGAGGCGCCGAAGGAAGAAGAGGCGGAGGAGGAGGAGCCTGAGGATGTGCGTCCCCGCTTACTTTTCCTCCGTAGGTACCGTATACTGACGATAAGCCATCCCTCCTTCCCTCATCCCCCGCATGTCCACGGCACACAGTCCAGCACGTCCTCCCTCGCGCGTACCCTATCCGTAACTACCCCGCGCGACGCTAACCCGCCCCACAGCTCCGAAGCCTGCGCCGCCCCGCAGGTCTTCGCCAAGCTGCGCTAAATATCTCCCGCTAACGTGCCCACTCTGTACCTCTTTCGGCGTGCGGAAGGTTCGTCTGTCTGCTTCTCCCATTCCTTACCCCCTCGAACCAAAAGCCCTCGGCACCGCCTGCCACCATGGCGGAACCGTTGCGTTTTCAAAACGCAAACGAGGGGAGCTCGAGGGGACGGGCGACGCCCAAGAAGCCTCCGCATTGCGCGGAACGAATCAGTAAGTGAATAAGCCCACTCGGCTTTCTTTTCAGGTATACTCTCGCGTATAACTCGCTCGTACGCGTGGAATATTGAATTGTTTTGGTTGCTTTGCTATCTCCAATGCATCTACTTCTCTCGAGGTATCTGTCCCTGCCGCCACAGGAAGAGCTGGCACCGAGGCCCTGCCCATTCATTCCCGCCCATCTCCGTCGCTCTGTGTGATTTGTGCACCGCGTTTCGTAACTGAGGTGCTCCTCGCGCCGGCCGCCCGGTGTATGCAAAGTTCGCGGCACGTTCGCCTTTTCCTGTGCTGCGTCTATTCCTTCTTGAATCCTTTGCTGGTTGCCCGTGAATCCGTCTCGATGCCTTCTTCTCCGCCTCTGCCGGCGGAGGATGTAGAGTATCTCTTTCCGCGCAACGGTGCGGTGTGCCGGCTGCACATGCCCGCGCCTAGGTTTTGAGCTTCATTTCACTCCCTCCGAAAGCCCTTGCGTTCTCCATCCCTCTCCCACATCGGTGTAGTGTCGCGGTTCGAATATGTTTCCTCCCACTTCATCCACAGCGCACGCGCTTCCTTCGCCCGATCTACGCGTGGGCGATTCCTTTCCCTGCATTGCTCAGCCCTTTTACTGCGAAAATTTCGAAGCCGCGCACCAACTGGCCTCGCATCCTCCGGAGGAGACTCATCATGGTTTCGCGTGTTCCTCCCGGCTGTCGACTTGTCGTTCCACTCACAGTTGGGCGTCGAGCGAGCCTTTCGTTTCTGGACACCATTTTTGTCGTCGCTGACTTGATGTTTTAGATATGTACATCCGGATCTAGAACACTCCACTGTACTTCAACCTGAAAAATGACCCGGGTGAGCCGATTATCTGAATTCGCGGTTTTCCGGAGACAGGATGCGATTCGCCTTCGCACTTAAAAGTTAAACCACCATGTGCGTTTCATTCAGACTAGAGCTCCAAGTATGTTGACCTGCGTTTCTGAATTCGGAACAGCCTCACAGGTCCGACGTGTTCTTTCGGTGTGTGCTGCATTCGAAAACGTATCAGGATGTAGTGTAACAATCAATTCCAAATTCAGTAGAATCGGCAAATGAGTAGTACGAAAATACGTACAAGGCGTTCATCTAAGCACTCGATTCCCTGGAATTCATACCCTGCATATGAGTACAAAGTGGTAAATTACCAGGTAAGTATAAATACACGGACTTCAGTAAAGCCAGAGTGACTGGATGTATATACTTAGTACCTCGGGTACGCACCTGAAATTGAGTTATCCTTTCAAAATAAACAAAAATACGAGCCTTCCTATTCATCTAAGGCTTGGGCCCGAGTCGAACGAGCATCTCCTGTGCCGTGTCAAATTGCTATTTGCCCAGCAGTCCGGACTGTCCGCCATCGAACCTTTCCGAGGTGGGGTAAGATTATGGGACATGCTACAACGTGCTTACATGCGACTGAACCTGGGACATGCGCAAAGAAGGCATCTACTGAATTCGGAGCGTCCTGGGGGAGAGGGCACGGAGGAGCGAACTCAGAGCACATTTTCGAAAGTATCGAGAGGCCAAGAAGCGGGATCGTGGGCTGGGTGCAAGACGACTGGCTAGACCGGAAGCACAGGACCTTCGCTTTCGTTCCCGTGCAATGGGGACCACGAGGTGGATGTCGGAAGCAAGACACCCCGGGTCGCACCCACGTCATGATATCACCACTGGCTTTCGAGACCGAAACTCTCAAAAGCCAAAAATAAAGGACTTCGGTGTGATAAGGACCGCAATGCTACGGCAGTGAGCTGGTGGTGGTCAAAGGTAGCGTCGTTCGGCCAAAGGGGTTTTGTTATTGGGTTAAATCCACTTTATAACGTGGGGTGTAGGTGAAACAGAGAATGGGGGTGTGTCCCTCGGGATGTTAGCAAAAATGGGTCAAGAGAATGAAATATAACCGTTTCTTCGTCGGATTTTCCGGGAAAATATTGCGCTCCTAGGGATGTTTCTAGACGGGAACGGTTCGTAGCCTTCTTCTTCGAGTTATTGGATGGCTTGCCCTCCTTTGGCCTCAAGCGGGCACAGTTTCTCAAGTGAACTCTTCCAAGGGGATGGTTCGAAGCTGACTTCGACGTCAACTGGCTTCGGTGTGGGTCTAGTCAGTTGGTAACCCAACAGGGTACAACCTCAGTGTTGTCGACGGTTTGCTTGTTGGTGTTGAGTCAGTTCCCACTGCTACAGAACGAAGGTTCGCGCAGGAAGGTGTGCTGAACTCGAGTGTCGAATAATCGGTGTGTGTGTGTGTGTGTGTGTGATTAAACCTTGTTGGAAAGGCTGCGGGGTCGAGGGAATGGGTTTCTGAGGTCGAAATGTGTGCGTGTGTGTGACAAATTCCTAATTGTGGGGGCTTGAACACTTGTACAAGTGGGAGGGAATCTGACCCCCGGAAGTTTGCTACCTAAACTAGGCTACTCACCTGCCATTACCGAATAACCCTTCTAACTAGAAGGGAAATTACCCCCTGATGTCCACTCTACTTAGAAGGAAAATCGGTGATTTCTTGACCGGCGGAAAACCGTGGACATTTTCGTGGTGGACAGTGGACCCAGGGTGGACCCGGGGGTGTCCCCGGTCTACCCTGCCCACGGATACCTGTGTGGACTGGGTGGACACAGTGAGAGGGGGGGGGTGCAACCGCGTATACTGTAGTGGACAGGGTGGACAATTGGACTTGAGAGGTGAACAGGATGCTCCGACCGGCCAACCACGGTGGACACCGGTGGACAGGTTGGTTGGGATGTGTAACCGCGAGGACCCCAGTGGACACGGGTGGACCAAGGGAGGTAGGCGCAACCGTGCTTGCGGGAGTGGACATCGGTGGACACAAAACACGTGATGACCGCGTGCACCATAGTGGACATCGGTGGACAAAGGGAGACAACACTCCACGTGATGTTCCAGGAAAAAATTGACCCATAGTATAAGGGTAGTACATCACGCCCATATCATTGATTAGGTATGAAAATATTTCTCGTGTCGATCTCAGTTCTACTCTGAGCCGGGTTATGTTTTGGCAACTTTTATACGCCCAGTCATGTATCACTAAATAGTACCACATATTCAATCAGATATATCAATACAAGAAATTTCAAAATTTCGAAAAAAAAAAGGAAGGATAATTGGCCAACAGAGCACACACCGTAATTCGAACACGGTGTGAGGGCTGTATGCGCTCTGCGCATGCCCTCTCGTTCCACGGCGGCTCAGGTCAACGACGACGAACTTCCTTCAAACGATAAACCCTTATTCGGCAATTTGGTTGCCACTTTAGGAACGACACTCGCTAACGATTGAACATCGATATTCAAGGAAATAATGGTGCTCACAAGGCTTCGACGGCGAACGACGGCACCCCACTACCCTTAATGCTCTTCGTTCCAACGGATACAACTACTAAACTATCAAATCTACTCACCACAGCCGATCTGGACAGATCTGGACCTCTGCGACGAGCCTCGCCGACGAACGAAGACACCATATCCACCATATCCTTTCACAAACCTTTTCCCAGTACAACAAACACCAATCGCCTCCAACGAGCATTATCACCTCGTGTCCTAAAAATATTAAACAACTAGCAGCGCGCCGACCATGGGCGAGCATGCTACCTGGCAGGACGTACGGGTCGGAACTTAATTGGGACGTAAACCCGACAGCCCGACAGCTCGCGGGATAATTGTCCTAAATCTGGTCTTCAACACTCTCTCGACGGCGAACGATACAATATTTCGCGGGCGAAAGGATGCTAGAATCGTTTTGGGGAAGAAAACTCTCACAAGCAAGTGTTTCACTCAAACACGAGGCTGATGGGGGGAAACGGTATAAAAAGCGGACAATTTAGCGTACTTGGGCATCGAGTTTCCGGGGGTTCAGATCCCTCCCACTTGTATACAAGTGTTCTTACATCCCACAAATCGAGAAATTGATCACACCCTTGCACCTACTTGTCTCAGGACACTTTACTCACTCCCTCCCTTGCAGCTTAAGTCATCTAAGCTCGCGCTCATATAGCTCGCCCTCGAACTTCGCACACCTTCCCGCGCGGAAACATCTCCTGTAGCGGTGGGAACGAAGCTTCGAGGATATTTTGGCAAATCGTCAACGCCTGAACGGCCACAACCTCTTATACTCCGAGAAGTTCGTCGCCGAAATT